AATGGGTAATATTAAATAATTATGCTGGGGAATAATATCCTTTTTAACCTGTGGGAAATATCGAACTAACCTTTTTCATAATAAATCACAGGATCAATTTAGCATTATAAGCACTCTTATAAGTATAGTTGTCACAGGAGTAATCATAAAATTATCTTGGGACGTAATGTCAGGAATATATGAAAATAAACTCATATCAATAACTTTGAACAAAGTGCCAGCTTATTGAGGTCAAATTACATATCAAAAGCTTTTTAAAGATGTCGTTCCTGAAGATAAGAATATCATCTAATTTAGAGTTGGCTACAATAACAATGCTAACAAAACTGCTAATTTTAGTGTCTTTGAGGATCCTCTTAATAGATTACTGTGCTATAATTATTATTGTGGAGCACTTTTATGTCAGGCTGATCCCTCTTAACTCAATGAGTGCCAATAACTTGAAACATTAAAATGTATGATTTAATTTCATTGTATCAAATGATTCATAATTAATCTCTAATCGCTATAGGTGAAGTTATTGATGTCATTAATAATCCGAACTAATATCGAGAATTCTTAATCAAATTCAAATTTGACTTTAAACAGATAAGTCTAGATACCCCAGATTCTGTTTTAAGTTCAACTAATTTTATCAATTTTTACTGTAACACTGGTAGTCTTTGGAGCAGTGAGTATTTTTGAGGCGAGTAAATGTCTAGATGGAATTTCTCTATTTACCAATACAGCTTTGATTATCCGCATATCTCATTACAGTAGAAATATTTTGAGTAAAAGTATGATGACATTGATAATGCAAGTTATGTCAACATTTTATATTTAAGATCATTCATCTAGAATTACTCTAATAGCAGATATGGTCTACAAACTAACTATATAGAAACAGTCTATCCTACTATTGTTTAAATGATGCCTCCATATAAAGATGGATTAAATGATGTACTTCATATCTTTCCTTTAATGATGAACTTTTAAGACTATAACCTAGATGTTTTTAATGTTGTACCTAAAACTTATGCCGATGGTATTTAGCAAATTGGATCAATGCTAGCTATATTAAGCTTTGTGTCCACTATCCTTTTTATACTAAATAGATATGTTTTTAACAAAAAACAAGTTTTGAGGATTAAAAGCATTAATGGAATGGGAAATGAAAAGCTGGAAGAGCTTTTGACATTTGATTAATTTTATAATATGAAGAAAACTATTGATTTGCAACAAAGTCAAATCAATTAGTTGCTTGCTGCTAATTCATTTTCGAATAAAGAATAAAGTGATGTTGAATTAACTAATTATGGTGAAACTAAGGATTAAAATAAAACAATTGCAGAAGCCATAGAAGAAAATAAGGATAATATAGAATTTTCGAATATTTAATGATTTAATTATAAGAATAACAAATTCTTCAGATTATTATATCTCGGGGTTTTGGGGTTTTGGGGTTTTGGGGTTTTGGGG